TACAGTTTTTAGTTTATCTACCCTGTGTGTAGATGCACTGAGATCAATACAGGGAGCATTAGAGGGAGTCTTAGAGACTTCTCACTTAAAGCCAATCTGTAAAGAAAAGGCCACAGTTGATCGCTAGTTCTTTGAGTAATATATTGTCTCATTTTTTCCCTTTTTAGCCAGTTGCAACAAGAGTTTGTAGAAACAGCATATTGAAAGTTTGAAGCATCTTCAATGCCATCTATGCCTTCAGTGCCATGTTATACACTAGAATTTTTTTTCCTCTCTAGAAAAGGAATCTTGGATGAGTATAGCCAGATCACCAGTCTTGTAACAGAAGAGATTGTGAATGTCCATAAAGAGATCCAGACCTCGGTTGAACAGATAGACCCTAACTCTGAGTATAATGACTTCATAGATACTCACAGGTACACATTTTCATCTTGGTGTGCATGTTCATGCTGCTTCTTGAGAAAACCCTGCATTAAACTGCAGCACTGCTTTAAGTGATCAGAGTTGAATTTCTTTCTGTTGCGTTCCTTTTACATTGTTACTTGTAAAGCTTTATCCTAGTTTGAAAATTGTTCTACTTGGACGTACTGGCTGAAAGTCAGGTTTTTAACCTGAACAAAATTCCAGTTACTGTTATTACATGTGAAGGGCCATAACTTTGAGACTGACAGTGGACTATGACAGTCCAGATTCAGCATGAGCTAATTTACTGTCTATTTGGATGCAGTTTGCATTCTGGGCTAGACTAAGTTTCTCTGCTCTATTTCTCTTACTGTCCAAATTCTAGTTTAAAGTAGACTCTAGGTACCTCTGTATACTCTGCAGTTATTGCAAGTTGAGCAGTATCTAAGACTACAGTGTATGCAGATAATGCAAGAAAGTTTTTTACTTTAAAAATAAAACTCTATCTGCTCTCTTACTTGAACTCTTACTCTGGATTAGTGTATGCAGAAATAGTCCTAAGACTTCTTGCGTTATCTTTTCTGTTATATGTGAATTGATAGTTGTCATGTGCAGGTTTATAGCAGGATCAGCTAAGAGTGGACATGTTCGCATTGATACCCCTTGAAAACCTTGGCTGTGCTGTGATGATCTTGATTCAAAGAATTGTACGCCATTTTGTTATCTGATATGATTTTAAAACTATGTTCTTTATTCAAAGGAAAAAGAATATGTATCCAATTGCTACCTTTTATTTCATATGTAATTGTGCCTATATTCTAGTTATTAAAATAATTCAAAGCATTACTTGCTTTATGAGCTACTTAAAGATATGTTAATTTTGAAAATATATTTATTTACTAAATTAGGTCATCAGAAGTTGTTGAACAAGAAATAGAGTTTGATACATCTTTACTAGAAGAAAATGAAAACCTTCAAGCTAATGAGATCATGTGGAATAATCTAACAGCAGAAAGTTTGCAAGTCACGTAAGTCTACAAACCTTTAATCCTTTGGAAATGCTGTTATGCATTATATTCATGGTCATTCAGATCATTGCATAGCTGTGTCCTCATTTTTAAGGTCCAGTTTCTAAAAAATACTTCTCCTCAGTCCCCCAAAAAACTTGCCAGCACTTTCAATCTATTTTCCTCTCCTTGCCAGTTAATTTATACAGTGCCCCAAATCCATCATGGATCCTCCTTGGGAGCATACTGATTCATCTTCCCAAAAGTGTTTCCACATTCACTACTCTAGGAGAAATGTTGAAATCTTTTGATAAAACCACGAGTACAGTGATGTAGTCATTGATTTAAATTGCTGTGCTGAAAATTTTCATGAATATATTTATTTCACTTGTTTTGTAAGTGTTTGCTTTTGTTTTTCAAAGGAAATTCTTATTCATTATTATAACCTTTAAAATAAATTAACTTTCTAATACAGATGTAGCTGTTGTATTGCATTTCATGAAGCTTTTAGCTATTCAGGATGATAAACTACCTCACCATGTATTTTGTAATATATTGCCTAGTTAAATCTTTTCATTACTTTTACCAACTTCACCTTTCATCATTTGTTACTGGGGAACAAATCTCCTGCTGAGGTTATTATGTTCTTATTATATTATCAGCCTCAACTTTTGACATAAAATGCTCCAATGCAGTCACTTGTGAGATTGCAACTCTTAATTGTACATTTAATTTTTTTTTATATTGATCATAGCAATTTAAAATGGAAAATTAAGAATTTCATTGATTGATGATGATCGTGTTGTCTCTACTGTATTTCAGTCCATGCTTGACTTATTTGAAGTTTTTTCCTTTAGAAAACAGAACTCATCCAAATAAGGTATCAGTGGTGTGCTGTGGCTTTCTTTGAAGTTTTTAAAAAATTGTAATCTGCTTAATCAAACTATGATGCTTATTTCTTGTAGGTTTTTCTGAAAACCAAAATCATAGTGACTCCCAATAGCAGTGAGGTGTTTCAAACATAAACACATTGCAGTGTCTTCTGCAGATTATTCTAATGTTTGCATTTTCTCAACATGACAGAATCTCTGTTTTTTATTAATTCCTTTTCAAGGTCATTAATCATCCTCTCTTTTTTCCTGTGCAATCTGATTCCTTTTTGTAAGTTTTTTCCTTAATAGGTATTGAAATAACGTTCGTAATATGAAGTTTTGGCCTCCTTTGCGAGACTCCTCCTTAGTCCTGAAGCAGTTTCATTTTTCTTGTGAAAGGATCCCTTGATAAAGTCGCTCCCTTCCCTTTAAACATGCTTCTGTTTATAATACATTTTTCATCTTTACTAAATTGAGATTATTCCTGCTTAAACTATGTAAATATTGTACGTATAGATGTACTTCAGCATAACAGGAAAAATATATATACTAAATCTCCCTTTTCAATAAAGTATTACAATTTTTGAAAGATTCTACCATCCATAGCTCAAAACGAGAAATAACTTTTTCTTTGACTTGTCTTCTGTATCCCATTGTTTAGAAATAAGACATCAACATGTCTAAGTGAAAAAGATGAAATGCAGCTCTTATAGTAAATGATTCTGATGAAATTCATATTTGTGTTTATGAATGTGTGTCTGCATATTTGCCTACATTTTCAATACAATTTCCAGCGTGTCCTGTTACAAATCTTAGATTCATCCACTTTAAATTCTTTCATGAATTTGAGAGAGAAATGTTATGGTGTGGTACTGTTTTAGGAACAGGAATCAAATAACTCTTTTAAGTGTTGCTGTCTTTAAGGTGTTCACTTTCTGGTATAGATTACACTAGGACTCTAAGGAAAAAGCTGTATTAGGTCAGACCAAAGACTGACCTAACCAACTTTCTTCTCTCTTACATTAGCCAACAGGGAAGAGTCTAGGGAGAATAACAACAGGATGATCATGCAATGCTGTTTTCTCAGAATGATCTCTCAGCCTCTCATAGTTTTCAGCTCACAAATGTTTTGAGACAGAAGTAGTCTTTGTTTATAAGTCTTAGAGGTTTTTTCTTTGGTTAATTTGCGCAGTCAGTTTAAGTATGTACAAGTATCTGTTGTCCACAAAATTTTTGGTCAAGCAGTTCCAGAGATTAACTTCATACTATGTGAACCTGCTGCTTCTTAGTTTCATTTTATGGCTCTTAAGCTCTTGGTTTGGAGGAGAACAGGAACAATCTACTCCTTTCTGCTCATGGTATTGTAAACTTCTGTCATACTCCTACCCCATGATCTCTTCTTCAGAGCCATCTTTAGTTTTAGACTGTCCTTTTGCAAAATTTACTCATATCCTTTGTCAAGTTTGTCATCTTTATTTGAATGTTTTCAAGGTTACTGAGTTGTTTTTTATATGAATGACAAGAATTGCGCGGGTAATCCAGATGCATAATTTAGAGAGGCATAATGAGATTTCCTGTATTCTTGTTCTACTTTTTTGTAACAAATCCTAGAGTATCATTCTGTTTGATTTTCTGACCACGGCAGTGTATTGAGTCAGTGTTTTCATGGAATGATCTACCGTAATTCCAAGATGTCATTTCTGACTGGTAATGGTCATTTTAGAGCCATTCACTGCATAATTAATGCTTTGGGTTGTTTTTCCCCCTGTCTGTTGGCTTATTTCAGTATGCGTTGAAATTAACCTTCTAAATGAGAGTCTGGTATTATCATAAGATCCAGAATAACCCTTTTGTATTCTTCACGTTCAGCCCCTTTCCCCTACCTCAGATAAGATTGTATGGTCAGCAATGGCACTTTTTAAACTGTCTTTTTTTTTCTTTTTTTTTTGATTATTCCAAACAAATTAAGCAGTGCAGACTTTTGTGAAACTTCACTACCTTCTGGCACTGTAAAAACTGTGTATTCTTATCCTCTTTGTCCTTTTTTTAAATTGCTTTTTAGTGTAGGTGAGAACCCTTTCTTTTAGAACTGCTTAGTTCCCTCTAACTGCCTTTGCTAATATATCGTGTTAACTACGATTTAGATATATTTTGTTATAGTCATACTTTAAAACCACTACAGCCAAAAAAAACCCCACAGGTATTTGTATCAACTTACTGTGTATGAGTAGAAATTCGTAAGATAAGTATATTACATCCTTTATCCATAGATGACGACTATTTATAAAATCCATTCTGTATGTGCTGAAACAATAGAAATTTGACTGTTGATCTTTAATACTGAGATCACAGCCTTGGATCTTCAAAACACTACATCACTGTGTTTCTGCAGAGGAGAACTGCATTCAGTATCTACCAAATATAATAAATCCAGTGGACATAGTGGATTTATTTCAGAGATTTAATAGATTCAAAGATGTGTATTGTTTGGAAATCAATAATTTTGAGTTGAATTGGTTCTTTTTTTAAGTGGGGGAAAAATGACAGCTTTACATTCATGTTTAAAGGTTTTCGTAAAATATATTTTAAGGAAACATGATGAGAAAACTGGCTCACTTTTACATTTTTAGGTAAGTTTATGAATAAAGTTTTGACAGGAGGAGGTAGTTAAAAGTCAGTGTTGACTTGCCAACCTTTCTAAGTAATGAGAGAGGTATGGTGTCTCCTGATAAATGTTGATGACTCTCACTGACTGTCCTGGTGTCTACTGGGACAGAGTTAATTTTCTTCCTAGAAGATGTAATAGTGCTATGTTTGGATTTAGGATGAGAAGAATGTTGGTAACACACTGATGGTTTAGATATTGCTAAGCAGTGCTTACACCAGTCAAGGACTTTTCAGCTTCCCCTGCTCTGCCAGGGGCACAAGAAGCTGGGAAGGGGGCACAGCCAGAACAACTGACCCTGACTGACCAAAGGGCTGTTCCAGACCCTATGGTGTCATGCTCAGTTTATAAACTGGGGGGAGTTGGTTGGGGGGCAGGGATTGCTGTTTGGGGATGGGCTGGGCATCAGTCTGCAGGTGGTGGGCAATTGCTTTGTGCATCACTTGCTTGGTGTATTCTATTATCTATTCTTTTTTCTTCCTCTGTTGTCCTGTTAAACAGTCTTTATCTCAACACATGGGTTTTACTTTTTGTTTTTTTTTGACTCGCTCCCCCATCCCACCTTGGAGGGGAGGGTGAGTGAGCAGCTGTGTGGTGCTTGGTTGCTGACTGGGGTTAAACCACAACACTGACTAATATTGAGGTATTCTGAAAAGTATAACAGAATGAAAGTTTATGCTTCAAAGATGCATGCATTAAAAACTGAGAGGAGGCAACCATAATGAAGTAAGTGCTGATCAGTGGGCATACAAATTAATATCCAAATTAATTTTAAAAAATCTTCTGAAATATAAGTTCTGTAAGTACAAGCATTTATTTTTATTGATATTTGAGGCAGAGTGGTGCTAATGACTAAAGAAATATGGAGGGCAGCTTTCCAGGTAGCCAGAACCTAGTTTGAGGATGCCTACTTTCTACATTTTCTTTGGTCTCACTTTATTTGTTCTTATGCCATTGAAACCTGACAGTTTGAGATTGTGTTTTTTAAAGCTAATAAGGATTTCAGTGACTAACTGGTTAGTAATAAAACCTTTCTGTAAACTGATTTTATCCAGGAGGCACATAGGAGGCCACAAGAAACTTCCTTTGACAAACCACAACTAAGGTGATACAAGGCAGATGCAGAGATGTCAATTCTAGCCAGTTTGAATGAAAATTATTGCTTAAAACTAAAAATAGAGGTTGAATACAAGGAAGCAAGTTAGTTTGGTGTGTATATGGTTGCTTTGTTTTGTTTTCTCTAAGATAAATACAAACATCCTAAAGTATCTGAGAAGCTTTAGGGAGAACTACGTCAACTTTCTGTTTTGATCTGATGCTTCAATATAAAATCTGGTATTTTTGAAATGGTAAAATGTTTTAATATATTTTTTCTGCATGTATACACTCATACCTTCCAGTGATGAACAATATTATTAATTTAGTTTTAATTTTTTCAATGTTGGTGCTTGATCATTAGATGTAACATCTGCTTTCTGTAAATCAATTGTTATCCAATAAAATGTTGATTAAAATTTTGCTTAGAAGGCTGATCAAAAAGCAGTATCTGTGGTTACAAAATTGGTAATTACTTTTTTAGCAAGGTATTAAAAGAAAAATGTTAGTTGATACTAAATTGGAGACACAGAATAAGAAAATTCTAATTTCTGAGAAGTTCAGCATACAGATTATGATAGCCTAAAAACAATAAAAATGTTTATTAAAGAGGGAGCTGTGGGGATATTGCTTTGAGAGAAATGTTTTACGTATTTCCCTTATCTCAAAATAAACACATGCAGATGCTTGTTCATTTGGGAAATAAACTTTTATTGTTCACTATATGGCTTTTTTATAGTAATTTAAGTGTTCCAAGATAAGATCCAGGACTGTCTGAATAAAGAATATGTTTAATCAACATTGTATAAAATATATTGGGAAGAGAGAGAACTAATTCAATGTTTAGAATCAAATAATTCAGTTTGGTATATTTAGACATGTAATCTGGCTCCTAGATTCCTAAGGTCCATGTAAATTACTCTAAGTTGACCTTCTGTGCTACTGCTCAATGTGGAATGGTTTTGGGCAATAAATCTGTGCAGTGGTAAGTACTGTATGTATTTTGCCTTTGTTCCACTCTTTACTACAATAACTTTTTTATTGAAATTGGGCTTGAAAATATGGGGGAAGTGAAGTAAGATAGTTAAAGACGGATAGATGAATGCTAAGAAGGAAATGAGGTGTACATGTATTTATTTATTTATTTATTTATTAAAAATTGTTCTCCTAGCTTAACAGTTGCTTGAAGTCAACATATATATTTTGATACATATTTTAGAAGTCATCATGTGAGCCATTTATCTGCATTGTTCAAAGTGCAAATTTTAGTGTACGTTTGTTGACCTTCTGGTTATTGGAATATTTGCCAGCATAATTGCAAAGTGTCAGTTATGCTTTTAAAGTGCAAAAACCCCTTCTCTGTTAGTATCAAGTGTTCCTGTACAAGTTTTATCTTTTCTTTGAATTAACCATTACCAAAGATTGTATGGCTTTAAAAAAGTTAATTGTAGAGAAATAAATACAGATCACATTTATAACAGAAACTGTCAATTTGTATTTTTGTTATTTCTGGAGATGAATACAGCTCAGCTACTGATTCTGTGTATTTATTTAACATCTACTTCAGGAGTTGGAAGGCTTTTGTCTTTCATAAAGCATCTCATCGATTAACAGTATATTAGGAAGGCATTAATTCACAGAACTCATCACACATTCTGGAAAAAAATTTCTTGATAGGAGAGTTTGCAGGCAGCAGATCATTCTGTAACCTTGTATGTATACAGAGGCAAATATGGGATCTGTAATAGTATGGGTTAATAACATAATATAAAGGTATATCCATGAAAAAAAAAATCACCTAGCACTGAGTAAGATAATTTAAAAAGTAATGCTCCTTTTTGTCTTCGGGGAAAAAAAATTAAATGTTCCCAGAAATATACAGTTCTTGTATTCACAGCATGGGTTTCTGAAATCTATGTCTTACAGGTTAAAAACAGTAATAGAAGAACTGATTCAGACCCAGCAAACCCTTTTGAGCAAAGAGGAACTTGTGTTGGAACTAGAGAAAAAAATAGAAGAGTCCTCTAAGACTTGTGAAAAGAAGTCTGAGTAAGTCGAAATGCAATTTCAAAATATAATAATTTGAGGGAAAAGCATCTATAATGCAGTTCTTATGACTTAAGTAAGAAATAACCTCCACTAATCTTGTTCTGCATTTTTGAGAAATGATTATTGTGAAAAACAACAGTAAATTAGTTTCCCATCTCTAAAACGACCCTTACCCACTGCAGCTCCTAATTTATTGGAGAATTGATAAACTCCCTTAGTTTAATATAATTGTCATAATGTTGGGATGGCTCAAGAACTGGATCTTTGGTTAGCATTATAACTTCAGCCTGAAGGAACAGGAGGAGTGTGCTGGTTTTGGCTGGGATAGAGTTAATTTTCTTCATAGAGGCTAGTAAGAGGCTATGTTTTGGATTTGTGCTAAAAAGAGGGTTGGTAACTTAGGGATGTTTTCATTACTGCTGAGCAGTGCTTACACAGAGTCAAGGGCTTTTCTGCTTCTCACACTGCTCCGCCAGCAAGTAGGCTGGGGATGCACAAGAATTTGGGAGGGGACACAGCCAGGACAGCTGACTCCACCTGACCAAAGGGATGATTCTATGATACCCCAGTCCACAGGGCCCTGTGCTGAGCAATAAAACTGGGGAAAGAAGATGGAAGTGGGGTATGTTTGGAATGATGGCATTTGTCTTCCCAAGTGATTGTAATGCATGATGGAGCCCTGCTTTCCTGTGTGGTGCTTGGTTGCCAGCTGGGTTTAAGCCACGATGAGTCAGTTCAGATTACTTCTCTGACTGAATTAATTGTGTAGATAAAATTTTTTGAAAGACTTTTTCAGAGTCATGTGCAAGATAGGTACTCTTTCAGATGCAATAGTATTTTTGGTACTTGTCAGGTTAAGTTCATTCTTCATTGCATTTTCTTTACAAAACAGAATGGAGATCTGATATCCCTGTAGCACTGCATAGTAAATAATGAAGGTGAGGGATTAATGAGTGTTTTACAGTGCCATAAATAAAACATTACTATAAAGAATTATTCTTGGACAAGCTCTTTAGGTTTTTCTCTATCTCTGATTAGAGAAAGTATTCACATCCCAGTCTAAACTGTGGTTAATAAAGCAGATAAAGAAGCCTTCTGTCTGTAGTGATGTTTCTCATTCTTGTTGCAATCAGTCATAACCTTACTAACATGGTCATAAGTATTAGTTTACAATACCAGTGAATTGGAATTCAAGTCCTCAGGTAATCCTGTCTGCATTCACTGAAGAAGTGTTGAAGCTCTTTGTTGGAGGCATCTTGTCACTTGATACATTGGATAGTATTTCATTCATATCCAAAACTTTAAATATGTATATGATATCAATGTTTTGATTATATACTTTCCTGTTCTTTCTTTGGTGAAGTTCACATGTGCTCACAGTGTGTTTTCCAATTTTTTGTTTCTTGACCTACCTTCGTTGCCGCATGATACTTGAAGGATACACTGTATTTGAGCTAGATGACTTTTGTGGTGTGTTTTACAATTTTTTTATTGTTTTGTTATCAGTTAGCTCTCTCTGAAAATGGTTCAGACCACCCCTGCATTTCTTGCTGTTGGGTAGGCTCCTTTGGTCCTCTAGCAGAAGTTTCTGGTGTTGAGATGATTTCAGTTCAGACTGTGCCAGTACCTGTAGGTCTTATTAAAAGGCATGAAATCTGGATTAGATTTCTAGTTGTAAAATAAGCTTCCTGAAATCATCTGACTTCTGTTTAGTCATTGGTCATGCCCTCCTCAAACAGACCCCGTTTTCAACTTTTAACTGGAGTGCAGAGTGGTCAGGATGGTTTTGTATGTACTTATGGTCCCTAGAAGATGTCGTCCAACTCTTGCATGTTCTTGACTGCTGTCATAGCATATGGCACTGGCCTCAGTGCTGCAAGGCAAGGTGAAAGGTAAAGGTAATTGAGCAATAGATGAAAGCTTGCCTCTTGAACCAGAGGTCATTTTGTTGGTGCAATGCAAAGCTATCATCAGGAAAGAAAGTGAGGAGGTCCACTCCAAAGGCAAGAGCTTTAGACCCTATGTTATTGTTGAGCCGCACTCAAGGTGCTGAGCTTTGCCCTTCAGTGCTGAGGAAATCTCCTTGTCAGCTTTATCTGCACAAAATTATGATAAAAGTCTGCAAAAGCATATTTTCTGTCTCTTCACTTGAACCAGTTTGGACTTCAGCTGTCTCCCCACTTCTTTCTGACACAGCTTCAGTACCACAAGTTCTGAACTGTTTACTGACTTTGCATCAGCAGTCTGAGTTGGGGCTTGCTGTTTCTTGGTGTCTGATTCTGGCAACACTACAAACTGATCTTTGCACATACTGCACTTATCATTAGGGCATGTATGGAAGTGTTATCTCTAGGCTTCTGATTTGTGTTCCTCCTCAATATTTAGCTGTATTGGTACTATTATCCTGGAAACAGTATCCATTTGCGCCTTCAAATGATGGTAGCACCTTCAAAACAGAGTGTTTTAATTATGTTTTATTTATATATGTATATGTCATGCATATCATCTGCCCTTCTGGCATGATAGTGTGTTGAATATTTGGGGTTTGATTCAGTTCCCCTTTTTACCACTTCCCAACCTGTTGCCCTCTTTGGGTCTTGCAAGGATTTTCGCACAAGATCTCACTCTGAGGTTGCTAGTAGCTCTTGCTAGCCAGAAGGACTAAAAAGTTTGCATTTATGCAAAGCATGGGCAAATAATGTTATAGATTCTAATTCCTTATGCACAGATGGAGTGAGGAACATTCTATGTTGGATTTGTGTAAACCAGTTAGACAATAATCCATGTTGCCACAGTTTAGGAAAGAGACTAGCTTGTGGCTTTTAACTTGCAGGGTATGTCTTGTTATCTCCAAGTTACGATGAATTGAAACCATTCAGGTTTTGGGATGTCATTCTAGCCAATGTGTAATCACCAAAGCCCTGCTGATGGTGGAAGGGCGTCATATTCACAGGGTGATCTCTTTTTTCTCTCATAATGAGGACCAGATGAAAGAACATTATCTTGAGGATAATGCCAGAATAATTGTTCGTTTCTTTTTGTGATGTTCTTAAATGTGTGCAGTCTCATGCCAAACCTTGGGTTTCAGGTCTTCTAATTGTATCTTCATACATCATACTTATCCTTTTTACATGAATGATCATTCTGCTGGTTGTAAGGAGTTCTGTTCTTTGGTTACTTAGTACAATGCTCGTCTATAGGGACATGATTTTTATCTTTTCCTGCCAATAAGGATTTTATGACAGATGGTTCCCTTATCACTTTGGAACCTGTTTGAATAGTCATTTGGCTCAGCATCAGTTTGTGAAGGAACAATCTCAATATCAGTGACTTCTAAGTGTCTTTTTTTTCTCCTAGGGGAGGGATTGCAGGAAGGTATGTCTTCCAGGGTTTATCCTGAAGATACAGAGTGACAGAATACAGTGATTTTTCTTTACACTATCCTTATTCTTCATAGTCCTGGTCCTTCTACCTCCTTCATCTGCTCTCACAGACTGTGAGAACTCTGCATCTCTTTATACACCACACATCTCTAGGCTCCAGTTGAATATTTTTAAGGGTGTCTGTATTGTACTGTGGATGGTTCTGTCTGTTAGGCAGCTTCGGTCTGTCTTTGGTTTTGGTGGTTCTTTGGGATAAGAGTCATCTAGGTACCTGTAGATGTTCTAAGTGATCTTCCTCTTCACTAATGCTTGAATTATGTGTGTCTTGGAGTATTCAAGGGTAGGAGGAGTATTCAGAGAAGAGCCATGAAAACATGCAGAAGACAAAAAAAAAATTGCTTTTAGCTCCTCATGGAGTTCAATTTATTTAGCTTCATAAGAAGAATGTTAGATTGCAGTCTAGAAATACTTATGCGGTAGAGGACCTTTCAGTCCAGAAGAGACAACAGATATCTCTAACTTGACACCAGATGAATTCATACTGGATGTAAGGTGAGTTTAGTAGTGCAAATTATCATTACAACAACTATGTGGATTGCAGTGGATTTCTCATCCCTGGAAATCATAATCTAAAAAAGTATCTCTTCTCTAAAGGATGAGGAACACTAGTGCTTGTAAGTTCAATCAAAAGTCGACGAAAATAGTAGTTTCATCTATATTTATTACAACATGATTTTTGTGATAGGTTGAGAAAAGAGAATGGCAAAGTAGGTGTGTGCTTGCATTGTCTTGTAGTTTTGAAAATTTTCTAGAATTGCTTCCTGTGTTTATGGCTTTGAACAAATAATTCTGTTGAGGAATTTTTATGCTCTTAATTATTAAAGTTTAGTAAAATTTCCTTTGTTAAATGAATGGGTATAGTGAAAAAAAGAAAAACATGGTCCCATATTTCATTTTTTGTTTTTATTTTTTAAGAAACAAAGTATTTTAAATCATGTATATTTATAAATTGTTTGTTATTTTTCTCTGCAGTATTGTACTCTTGCTGAGCCAAAAGCAAGCGCTGGAAGAACTCAAGCAAACAGTTCAGCAATTAAAATGTTCTGAGGCAAAATTTGCAGCCCAGAAAGAACTACTGGAACAAAAGGTTCAGGAGAATGATGGGAAAGAGCCACCACCTGTAGTGAATTATGAAGAAGATGCCAGATCAGTCACTTCTATGGTAAGTTTTACATCTGTTTTACTGAATTGTGCAGCCTTGCTATTGTACTTTAGTCCTGGGATCAGAATCTCAAGATATTCACAGTGATGACTGAAGTGAATAAACTTCACTTTGCATTTGTGGAGATTTGTTTAACAAAACAGTTGTGTGACTTTAAAGTTGCAATAACTTGTAACACCCTCTGTATGTCTGTGGACTTGGTTTGGTCTTCTGCACACTTGGTGCTTAGATTCTCATTAGATTGTTTTATTTTCAGAAGTGTAAATCCTTAAATAGATTTTATAAACATGACTGAGTAGCTATTGATAATTTCATTGGCTGTGTTGAAGAAATGCATTCACAACTGTAGATAGAAAACTAACAGTAAAAGCTGTTGGAATCACTACAAACACTGTGTAATTGACAAATTAATATTATGTACTGTAATTGCTCTTTTCTTTAAACAGAAACAAACACTGGTTTCTTTGCAACTTATTTTTAAATGTTTACATGCTCTTAATCAAAAGGAACTTTTTGTGCTACTGCTGAGACCCCATGTAATTTAAGTGAGTACTTTACTTTGCTAATATTTTGTGTGACTTCCTTTTCTCAATTGTATGCAGCTAAGTGTAGAGATAGTAGGCCACATAAAAAAGCAAACAAACAGTACCTGTTTACTAAAGGGACAAGCGGTAGTGTTTGCTTTTATGGATTAGGTTTGACATATATGAGATGCTTGGACTTGTTTTCTTTAGAGGTTTAGCCTGCCATTTATATTGGCCCACAGAACAGTAGCTCAGTGAAATGATAATGAAATAGTTGTATCTGAGAGGAATGCTTTTGTTTTCTCTGTCTATTTGTGGAACCAAGTTTGTTTTTTTCTTCCATTCCCATTCTACAGTTACACTTGTCAGTATTCTCTTGCTTCCACTACTACTGTTTAATATTTACAAGGCACTAGCAGGTGGTTGCCATTTTCACTGGTACAAAAACTTTATTATACAAAGCTTGTATGCCGGTCATGAGGTAGGAAGAGTTAGTAAAGCACCAAAAAGTGGAGAAGGCGAAAGGAAGGATCAGGATAATGATTGTGAATGATTAAGAGGCTTGGAATCTTTTGGGGGTAGGCTATCTTATTAGTTATTTCATGTAATATCCTGTAGTATTGCTAGTGGATATTGTCTGTAAGGGTTAGTCGACATGATGAGTCTAATCAAGAGAATGGTATTCTTCCACCTCAGTTCAAGATTACTAAAGTTTGTCTTCTGCTGTCCAAATCTCTGTTTCAATGGGTGGAAGAAAATAATCCTTGCGTTTATGTACAGTATACAGGGAAGAATTCTGAGCTCTTAATTTTTTTGGAGTAAAAATTATCTATGATAATTTATCTTTCTTTTTTTTGCTGAAGAAAGTACATACTGAGATTTCTAGAATGATGCCAGAAATAATTTTTTGCATATATTAAATGTACTGAGAGTAAGAAAAATGCTGCTATTTTGGCTTCAGAGGATTTAGTCTTATAATTTGTATGTACCATGAAAAATAATGGAATATGACTTAAGTGCTGGGTGATTTCCCTTGAGTAAGTAATTTAAGAGAGGAAAATACCACTTAAGTTTTGTTTAACTTTTAAGTTGATATCCTGTGCTAGTAAAATTGACTGGTAGATACCACTGCAGTCTAATTTAAACTTTTTTTCAAATTGCTGTACCTTGAGAAGGCAGTCTTGGCTGTATCTCAGGATGAAAAAAATAATACCCTGATGGACTGTTTGTATAAATAAGCATCCTGGTGGGTTTTATAATGAGATATGTTTTTAGTAAAACTCCTTAAAATTATACAGGTGCTAAATGATCAGAAATGAAATTTTCTTGCTGCTGATGCTCATCCTGGTATTATTCAGGAAGTTCGTTGTTTCTTCAGCAAGAAATTCGTTTAGGTTTCTACTCTTTATCTGAAAGCAGTTCACCTAAACGTTGTCTGACACTACATTTGAATGTGGTTATTTATTCCTTTTCAGAAAATCATCATAAGCACTTGTTTTACAAATTCTTTTCCTAGGAATGACAAAAGCATAATTGGCTTGTGTTGTGAGCATGCATATGCAGTACATTTTCATGTATTCAGTCACACGTGGATTTTCTTGGTAATTTAAAATTAAAAATATGATATACAAAACAACTTTGTAAAGTTTCATGTCTTTCTAAGTATTTATACGGCATCATATAAACACAGCCAATTTCATAGTGGAATAGTGCACAAATTGTTTTGTTTTCCGTCTCTTACATTAGGTAACAGTACAATAGAATACTAACAAGGAATGAAATTCCGAAATGCTGTTTGATGTGGTTTTATAGACAGTGTGATGTTACTTGTGTGTAATGATTTCCTTCGTTTCCTTGTTCTTTTTTGCTTCTGTTAACTGTAAGAGGTTTCATATTTTGTTAGTGTCTTCAATATGGTTGAGTTTGGTCAATATATTTTATTGTTTGTAGAATGTTAGCAGTATATTGGTGTTTGTGTACACATTGTAAGAAAAAGGGAAATTGCTGAGTGATTCTGTTTTGTTCAATCATGACAGCAGAGCAAGGAGTTAAAATAATTCAATTTTTGGCCATTCCTGAACATTGCATTTAACAATTTTGACATCATATGTGGAAAAATAAAATGTATTTTCTTTTTTCTAGTATGTATACCTTTGTACTGAGATAACCATGCAAGACAGAGATCATTCTAATGCTGAAGATTCTACAATTTTAAAGTAATGTCTCCGAGCCCTTTAGAGTTATGCAGATATGATACTATGCACTACGTAATCGGGAGAAACATAGTTAACTTTTTCTTCTATACTTATATTAAAGTAAAGAGATAGATACTAAAAAAAAGCTGGTTAGTCCTTGTAACAGCTGGTTTTTGGCCAAGAAGTTGTAGTATCCAAATTGTTAAATATTATGTCACTTTACAAAAGTTAACCAGTAACTGGCAGCTTGAACTAACTTTTCAGTGTTTAGATATTCAGTCAAGGAATATATGACCAGTTATTTGTCTTAAGGTACATATGCTATTCTTGCTGTTTATACGATCAACAGAGCATGGCACCGTAACTAAAGCAAAGAAAACAACAGCAACAACATTTTTATATGTCTAATAATCTGACCAGAAATAAAAACATCAGGAATATCTGGAATATTGCCATGCCAGTTAAACATTTACTCAGGTAATTAAGTACAATGATGGTGGTTTGCATTTCATAGTAAGACTTTGAAATTACAGCATCAGTATTGACTTGGAAGTTGTTACAGAATAGGAAATCTTTAGGGAGTGCTTAAGGCTGGCAATAGATTTAGTTAATATAAAATTGTAATTCATTTTGTTTAGCAATAATACAGTGAAATCTGTATGCCAATTAATATGCCTTCTCCTCTTTCCTTACATGATAAAAAAAAATATTATAAAGGTGCAAACCAATTATTTTTAAGAATATGTATTTAAAACTATATGGTTTTCTCACTGTAGAAATGTTTCGTACAGATCTATTTTGCGTACTGCAGCATTATACTGAAACCACTGATAAAACTGAGACTTGCAGTACTTGAAAGACTTGTCAGCAGGTGGAGCTCAGTGCCAGAATACTAGTAATGACTGAATAATCAAAATTTTTCATCATTATGTATGTTAAAAAAAGGCATATGAGACAGAGAAATGTGGAGGAAAAAAATGTGTGTTCTCATCTATCTAACATCAAAATAATCTGAAGTGGTGGTTTGGGTTTGTTCTGATTTTTTTGTTTTTTTACAAATAATGAAATATAACGGTAATGTAGAAAGACCCTACTGCATGGTCTTCGACAGCGTGTAAGCCAACTAAAAGAGCTGCGCAGCTATACTGGCCATGGAACAACAGTGCAAAGTCACCGTTCTTTCTCCATACGCTCCAGTTTTATGTGTTGTAGCAAAATTACCCAAAGGAAAAAAAAATATAAAAGTTCACTGCGTATCTAATTAGTTTTACTATTTGTCATTCCTTTTTAAATGGCTTCAAAGATCCTGTTCTCAGTGATTGTTTTAAATGTAAGATAAGCCAGCTTTTGGTGAAGATTGTGGTAAATAAACAGAGAAGTTCTTAGTGCTTATGGAAGAAAAGATAGTAAATGCATGAAACAGTGCTGAATTACTAGTTTCATTATTTGTAAATCATTCTAAAAGTACTTTTTTATTTGCCTAATGTGAATGTTTTAGATTTCCATCCCTGCTTTCTAGAATCCTTGACTCAGTGCTCCTGCCAATAGTGTGATCAACAAACCGGTAGTCTTAGAGACTTCCTCTGCAGGTTTGGGTTTGAGGCAGATATTTTCAGGATTCTCACTGAAATTGTAATTGACAAATTTAATCAATTTGTACATTTTGAATTTTTTTAAGTCGGTTACACAGATAGGAAAGAGCACTTCTGGGAGTTGGTCATATGATTATAGTTGCTTCATTAAATGCATTTTAGATGATGTATCATAAGGCCCTGAAACATAACCCGCTGAGAGACATACCCACACTCCTAGGTGTCTCCTTTTGCCATACTGTCTCGGGCTATATGGGATTTTTATTTTCAAACAGATGCAGGGAAACAGTAAGCTGCTGTGACAGCCCATTGCAGCAGTAGCAGAAAGTTTGATGGTAGAGATAATTTTTTTTTTTTTAATTGACTCAGAAGAATTTAGGCATTCCT